TTCCGAAAATGAAAGTGAAAATCAATTGAAACCAATCAGAATACGCTGAATATCCATATTAACAGTTTTTTATCCTAGCAGAAACGCTGTAGAAACAGCGCTAAAACCATGTAAAAGATTTGTCAGATCCTGTGCAATAATAAATTGGTGATCAGGTAATTTTTTTCGAAGGTTTTCGTTAATATAATGAATTTTTTCTTACAACATTTTTCTGATTACTGAAAAAGTTAACATATTATTTCTTTTAAAAAAATAGCGGTGGAATCAATAAATCAATAAATGGATTCAATACTGCTTAAGGAGGAAAATCGTACTTTCCCTAGAGAAGCTTTCTCAATTCTGTTGTAACATTTTGTCGTACTTCAAAAGGAAATCGTATCCCTGCTTTTTAAAATTTCTCAAATAAAGCAATTGTTTTCCTCGGCCTCACGTAGCGAGGGGAATACGGTGGTTGAAATATGGAAGAAAGACAATTCAAAAGCAATTGAACTTGAATTTTGCCAGAGCTTAAATTTAATTTGTTTGCTATCCGTCATTTCAGAAACATCACTGGTTCATAAATTATACAATACTGCGTATGTATTTTCTGGGTCGCCCAGAAAATACAGTATGCAGTTGTCGCTGGGAGGGATGTTTTTGCGTGCCTGTGCCTGGGGTGAAAAGATACCCGACACCGACGCGTCGAGACGTGACAGGCGCCAGATATCCGGTATCGAAGACTCGACAGACTGACTTCCCTCTCTGGGGAAGGTCTTGTGAAGATGCACAGCAGATGCCTTCGGCATTAGACTGCAAATATTTATTTTTTTAGCTTTTCTTTTGGTACAGTAACTTACAGGGTGGCACAGAAAAACATTTTGCAACAAGTTTCAACCAGCTACACTCTATTATAGTTATACTCTCTCTACGACGATTGAGTCTACAATACAATTATTTTCTCTGTATAGCAAACGTTTTGTGGTCCCATACGAATCTTTACCCATGTTATAGGGATTCTCGACAAACGAAATTCCCTCTACAACGAAAAAGCTGGACTAGAGCTGAAATGAAAGCTCCGTTCCATCACTTGTCAAATTCATACAAACTTTTTTAAATATTTAATTATGTGAACATTGCGAACATTTCCAAGCGTCATTTCAGATTTATAAAACGGGATTTTTATTTTTCTCAAACGCATTTTCCATAAATTGACGGACAGTGAAATATTGTGCCACAAATCAAAGTGCTTCCAATTAGAATAGGAAATGTAGATTTTTTTTAAGGGGAAAAATATTTTTCCTTCATACTTTTCAAATATGCATCCACTAGTTCACAAAACAACACAGGGGCGGTGGTTATACTGATTGAAATTACGCGAAAAAATTAAATCGATTTCATTTCTTGAAAGCCGTGGTTTCTGAAATAGTGTACGAGTCCCCTCAGTGAAAGGGAATTTTCCCAATTTTTTTAAACGTCTTCCGTGAACAGTTGCTCCTTTGTTTGTTTTATCAACAGATCTGGGAAGTTTCATCTGTTTTAGAAAGACAAGTTTTTCTTTGTTCGTTTGTCCGTTAAATTCTCTCTTGTAAGCTAACTTATTCTTGCTCCGCTCTGGTGTCCTTATTCCTACTGTATTTATGTGCTTTACTGCTCAGTTAAAAAAGCTGACGTGAACGCTCACATGCCATATCAAAAAAATCAGATATTTTATTTAAGTCTCTATTTAAGTCTCTAAGGTCTATTTTTATTTCGCCCTTTTATTTAAGTCTCTTTTTCGTCCTAATTTAAAGGCAAGTGCCCAAGCGCAAAGGGGCGATTCTTAAACCTACGGTTCATCTTATTCGAGGCAGAAAACGCAGGAACAAACCTGGCCAAGGTCAACAGTCAGGTTGACCTCGTTGTAAATCATCCCTCTCGACAAAGGCGGTGACTGCCACCACGACTCCGTTCCGTCGATTGCAAATTCAGCCGGATGACTGTTTGGTCGACAGTAATCGCATACCTAAATTGAATCAAAAGTTCAGGAAATAAATGAAAAATATAAAACGAAAGGACGCCAAATTAGAAACCATGAGTAGTGTCAGAAATCAGCGACCTCTATTTATAAGCGCAAAAGTGGCGATTGATTTTGGTGCAGTCAACTTTTGGGAAATTTTGTTTTACGCATTCCAAAAAAATAATAAATTGGCGAGCAAAACATTTTGTGGGTCCTGCGATTTAAAACAAAATTAAAACAAAAAATTGGGATTTCTTCAATTTTCACATCAGCTTGAAGAATGGAGAGTCGGAAATTCGGTTACCCAGAAGACTTTCATGTGCAAGTACAGTACAGTGTTAAATTGTTGAGCCTTTCCCAAATATTTTATTTCATCAACAGCCTGGAAAAATTGAATAAAAACATACTGTACACAAGTTGATCCGGTTAGCCATCAATTATTTAATTTATACAGTATTACCTGTCCCTGGATGAGGTTGGTGTCCTCGCTTATTTCCGCATTTGCGCCAGTTAATTGACAGTATAATTCGGGCTCATTAACTCCGACTCCGCAGGTGGACGAGGCCGTGATGCGACGAGGCGCCCGGTTCAACTGGTAGCCGCCACAGTTTTGCAGTGAAAGCTGTTGCTGCCGACAGCTTTGCTGCTTTTTGCAGCAACGGGTGTCGGTTAAGTAAAAATAAAGGGAGTGCTACGCTTTAAGAATTTTAATCTTGCCAAGTACATCGTCAGCAACTGTGCGCATGAAATGAAGGACAACTTATACAGTACTGAAAATTGTTGGAAAATCAACTAAAAGCATGCATAAAAATGTTTCGACACAAGGTTTTGAACTTCACTTTTTTTTTATCTGGCGTAATTTTTTTTTCATTTCAGGGAACCGAATTCTTCCACTTAACATTCAAACTGCTATCGATTGAACCCAATAATATCAAGCTATGCTCCATAATACTAACATAAGTCACATAAATAAAATTAATTAAATTCATAATGATATACAATTAAAACGCTGAGCTACAGAAACTAAATCCTGAGGCGTAAAATTCATCGGAATTTTCATGAAAATAAATTTTTAGTCTCTACACAATATATTGAATGCTGTCAACAAAGAAAAGAATAACCGAATTTGAAATGTTTAAAACAAACATATGATAAACGAGGACACTTTTAGCAGTAAGGAACGCCGTTTTTTACAAGGGGAAGTTGTAACCGTTACTGTTGTATGTACATTCTTACCATCAAAATTTAGAACTGAGATTCTGTATTGCAAATGCACCGTCAAATTATAGATAAGATGATCATGATTTTATCTGTGTGCTCAGAAGTGGATCATAATCATAATGGGCACAATAATTTAAGAGAGAACATTCGATTGAATAAGAACGAGGCGAGACCACAGGAATAAGGATGACATAAATACACGAAATGACGAGTCAATTTTTTCGACTGCACTTGCGAGTGTACGGTATAGTTTTTTTCCAGATAAAAATAAATTCAGAGATAAATTCAGAGATTCCAGATGAAAATAAAGCGGGAAAATAAATTCAGAGATAAATTCAGAGATTCCAGATAAAAATAAAGCGGGAAAATAAATTCAGAGAAAAAGCAGGATTAAATTTCCGTTCACGGGTTCGCGTTTCCCCGCTAAGAATTTGGATGCCATTATTTGATGCAATGAAAAGTCTCGAAAAATATGCTTGGCGGTTATTCTTTCAACAATTTCAATAATTCGCCCAACTGTTATCTGCATTGACAAGAACTGTGCGGCGGTAAAATCATGAAAAATGGTTTGTCAATTGATGCAGTACGACCCCCGCGCGGGCCCATAGGCGCCGCCATCATGGCCCGCACAAAGGCCTAAAACGCGACATCGACTGTTTTTCTTACTTTGTTACACCGCACCAATCCGAACCGGCTGACACAATACACGCGCGCGCTTGCGTCAACCGACTCGCGCCCGTACCCCTGAGGCGATAGAGTCTATAGCTCCCACTTTGTCTATAGCTCCCAAACCGAGCGGTCGTCACGCGAACCAGTGCCTTTTATCGTGTGTACTGTTTACTGTTATAGTCATAATCCGCTACCTGAGTGAGTGCCAATAAACCGCTACCGTTGTGTTCCACTCTGTGTACGTGTTAGTGCAAGAAGGTGTCAGCACCTGATTGTGTGTGTAGAGACAATAAGTCTTACTGGGGGCTCAGCCGCGCGAAACGAACCATGGCGAACCCAAATGAGCGAATTGTGCAAAGTGATCTGGACAAACCGTCCCCACGCCCCTCAAGCGATTCCGCATCGGCGTTCACCCACAGCTATCGCAACAACAACCAATGGGCACATCACATGCTCCCAGCCATACAATCGTACTGTGCGTCCGCACAAATCCCACATCTTGGGAACCAAGACGAACTCGTCGCAGCGCTCCAAGCGCGAGGCATACAGCCCATCAACGTGCTACAAAACACGACACCGGGTCCCTCGGCCAATCCCTCCGCCGCAGAACTCACCGCCAACATAACCGAAACGCTGCTCCGATGCCGGGCAGACTTCCCAAAACAGGCCCAAGGAGAAGACTTCGAAGTCTACCTCCGACGACTGGAGATAGCATTCAGTCACAACGGGACGTCAAACAACACCAAAATCGACTGCCTGATTGGGCACATGAGGCCTACAGTCGCGGCGGCCGCCCAACGCCTTTACGACGAGGGCTACCACAATTACGACGACATTGCCGATCGGCTCAAAATACAGTTCGGGCTCTCGCCCTTCGAACATTTCACGCAATTCCTCGCCCTACGCCCACTTGACGATGAATCATGGGCACAATTCGGAAATCGCCTACGATGCAAATACATTCGCTACCTACCGCTCAGCGCAACCGACCTACCCGGACAGGAAAAATCCATCACAGCCGCCCTCATCGGGCAACTCCTAGCAATCACCACGGGAGGGCTCCATGCCCATCTCTACTCCAAGGCGACCGCCGATCGAACCCTAACATGGGTCAACTGCCTCGCATACGCGGACAAATATTGCCGCATGCACCCCAATACGCCACGAGCATCACCCGCTCCACAGAACCAACAACAAACCAACCGACGACCGAAAACCACGGCGTCCGGGGTACAAAAACATTACTGTGACCACCACCAGCGGTACGTCCTACACACGACCCCAGAATGCTCGCTTGGGCAGAACCCACGGCCCAACACGGCCACGGGTAACCAATCACCACAAAACCTCCAATCGTGTACCTATCACCCAGGCCGACTGGTTGCACACTCGACAGCAGAATGCCAAAACAACCCGGCCAACCAGGTAAACACACCTAACACGCAAACAGTCCAGCCGACTAAATGTGTGCAATGCGGACTTACAGGTCACACGGCGGCAAATTGCCCAAACCAGGGAAACGCCAAGATTGGGCAGTGATGGCTGTCCTCTGCTCGATCCCCCAAGATACAGACGACAGCCTCACGATCATCATCGGAATCAAGAACAAACGCGTTACAGCGCTGATTGACACTGGAGCCACCAGGTCATTCATGGCAACCGACGTCGCAGCCGAAGTAGGGCTCACACCCCACCCGACAAAAGCGAAGATCTCCGCAGCCGTCTTACACATCTCCGCCGACATCAGCCACTCGGTAAGTACCACCTTTTCACTTGGTTCAGCCGACTACTCCGCGACCTTCTTTCTCCTCGCAAACGCAAGATACCCCATAATTGTACATTCTTACCATCAAAATTTAGAACTGAGATTCTGTATTGCAAATGCACCGTCAAATTATAGATAAGATGATCATGATTTTATCTGTGTGCTCAGAAGTGGATCATAATCATAATGGGCACAAGACCAAAAATTTAATACTTCACACAAATTCTGTGGAAAATGCAGGCACCCCATCGGATTTTTCGGAGAATTTTTCAATACAAATTTTACAGTATTTATACTCGTATTATTACCTAATAAAACCCAGGTTTATTTTCAATAATGTACAGTACTGTATATTCAATCCCCCAACGTGTACCTGAACATTATTGACAATGCCTGTAATACCCGGATAATCATAAAATGCATTTTTTTAACTGATCATAAATAAGCAGTGCATCTGGATAATTTACACTGAATCTCGAGCACAATGTAATTCTTTGTACTGAGAAGAGAATTCATTTACAGGCATTAACTTACAGAGGGCGTTCATTTGACAGCGAGCAGCTTAAAAAGTTTTACATAAATCACAAACAAATCTCACGTTTCCACCGAAACAAACACAAAAAATGCACGTTAGTCCCCAGCAGAAACTCATAGTTTCACTGTATTCCATGTTTGGGATGGGGCCAAAAACAGCATTCGAACACAGCAGTAAACTCAAGAACCTCCTCAAGGAACTGCTGACACCCCACCCCATATACATATGGGATCCCCTTCAGCACGTTAACGTTGCACTCCCTCCTTTTCGTTTTTCATTTGGAGCTCCCAGGAAACCTAACTCAGAATAAGTGAGAAGGAGATGTGCAGAAAACATCTTGCATAGTGACTTCACTCTGCAGTTTCATCGCTGTAAGTATTGAAATCTTTTGGTTTGGGCCTGGAAAATGGCATATCATCACTCCATCCAAAAAGGATGGATCTATTGTTCACGTGAGATTGAAGTCGTACTTTTTTCTTCTTCTTTTTTTTTAATAGACCCAAAAGCTGGGATATGACTTATTCATCTCCATCTGAGATTTAGACTGTATTCGACGTAACTGTAGGGCACTATATAATCGATTAAAATTATATTTTTTATGCTTAAAATTTTTGAGTAAGGCAGTACGAAGGTGCAAAATGTATGGCTGGCAATCCTTTTTCTGCAGTTATTCAAGACTTTCAGAACGTTCGGGGATTCCCTTATGTACCTGCACAACGCGTCATTGGAGGGGAACGCGTGAAACTATGAACAGAACCCGGCAGAGGTTGCTTTAACCCAACTAAAATTAGCCCAGCATGGGAGGGGACTGACAACTTCGTCTATTTTGGTCGGTCTTCTTCCCTTCACTAGAAAATTGTTCTTTGTTGTTTTGTTTTTTCAATTGCGGTATATGAACTACTGTAAAATTATATGAATGAGGACAAGATAGCATTGAAGTTGGTTAACTTTAACAAAGCGAAGACTGTTGATATGTTTTGGAAGCTATAAACATAAATAAATAAAATCCGAGCGATCCCATGTTTTAATACTGCCATTTTACGTTTCATTAAATTTTGGGGATATTCCATTTTTCTTCTACGTGAACTGGAACATCCTGAACATAAAAAATAATGCATCCATTGATAAATATCAAATCTTACCAAGTTCCAAAATTCTGACATATTCTCTGTAATCTCAAGTGAAGTCATAATAATGAAGTGAAAATAATAATGAAGTGTGTATAAGCGCGTGAAATATAGATAAAAAGATAACGTATTCATTCTAAGACATAAACTACGTTACTTTTCAGAGCTTTTTATACGAACCGCCAATAAGAAAGTTGTTAAAGTTATTAAGCGGGTTGACAATAGACGTAACTGTTCTTGACACGCCGCCATTTTAGTACTTTTTACCAACGTCAATTGATGCAGTACGACCCCCGCGCGGGCCCATAGGCGCCGCCATCATGGCCCGCGCAAAGGCCTAAAACGCGACATTGACTGTTTTTCTTACTTTGTTACGCCGCACCAATCCGAACCGGCTGACGCAATACACACGCGCGCTTGCGTCAACCGACTCGCGCCTGTACCCCTGAGGCGATAGAGAGCCTCACTTTGTCTATAGCTCCCAAACCGAGCAGTCGTCACGCGAACCAGTGCCTTTTATCGTGTGTACTGTTTACTGTTATAGTCATAATCCACTACCTGAGTGAGTGCCAATAAACCTCTACCGTTGTGTTCCACTCTGTGTACGTGTTAGTGCAAGAAGGTGTCAGCACCTGATTGTGTGTGTAGAGACAATAAGTCTTACTGGGGGCTCAGCCGCGCAAAACGAACCATGGCGAACCCAAATGAGCGAATTGTGCAAAGTGATCTGGACGAACCGTCCCCATGCCCCTCAAGCGATTCCGCATCGGCGTTCACCCACAGCTATCGCAACAACAACCAATGGGCACATCTCATGCTCCCAGCCATACGATTGTACTGTGCGTCCGCACAAATCCCACATCTTGGGAACCAAGACGAACTCGTCGCAGCGCTCCAAGCGCGAGGCGTACAGCCCATCAACGTGCTACAAAACACGACACCGGGTCCCTTGGCCAATCCCTCCGCCGCAGAACTCACCGCCAACATAACCGAAACGCTGCTCCGATGCCGGGCAGACTTCCCAAAACAGGCCCAAGGAGAAGACTTCGAAGTCTACCTCCGACGACTGGAGATAGCATTCAGTCACAACGGGACGTCAAACAACACCAAAATCGACTGCCTGATCGGGCACACGACGCCTACAGTCGCGGCGGCCGCCCAACGCCTTTACGACAAGGGCTACCACAATTACGACGACATCGCCGATCGGCTCAAAATACAGTTCGGGCTCTTGCCCTTCGAACATTTCACGCGATTCCTCGCCCTACGCCCACTTGACGATGAATCATGGGCACAATTTGGAAATCGCCTACGATGCGAATACATTCGCTACCTACCGCTCAGCGCAACCGACCTACCCAGACAGGAAAAATCCATCACAGCCGCCCTCATTGGGCAACTCCTAGCAATCACCACGGGAGGGCTCCATGCCCATCTCTACTCCAAGGCGACCGCCGATCTAACCCTAACATGGGTCAACTGCCTCGCATACGCGGACGAATATCGCCGCATGCACCCCAATATGCCACGAGCATCACCCGCTCCACAGAACCAACAACAAACCAACCGACGACCGAAAACCATGGCGTCCGGGGTACAAAAACATTACTGTGACCACCACCAGCGGTATGTCCTACACACAACCGCAGAATGCTCGCTCGGGCAGAACCCACGGCCCAACACGGCCACGGGTAACCAATCACCACAAAACCTCCAATCGTGTACCTATCACCCAGGCCGCCTGGTCGCACACTCGACAGCAGAATGCCGAAACAACCCGGCCAACCAGGTAAACACACCTAACACGCAAACAGTCCAGCCGACTAAATGTGTGCAACGCGGACTTACAGGTCACACGGCGGCAAATTGCCCAAACCAGGGAAACGCCAAGATTGGGCAGTGACGGCTGTCCTCTGCTCGATCCCCCAAGATACAGACGACAGCCTCACGATCATCATCAGAATCAAGAACAAACGCGTTACAGCGCTGATCAACACTGGAGCCACCAGGTCATTCATGGCAACCGACGTCGCAGCCGAAGTAGGGCTCACACCCCACCCGACGAAAGCATTCTAGAGGCGTCGGCAGAATGTGTAGAGGCGGCTGTAGTCGGTGAGCCATTCATGGTGGAAAAGTGAACCAAGTCGGCTGATGAGGCGCTGGAAGAAAGAGGAGCGTTTGCGTTCTATGGGGTATTTTCTCGGCCTCGACACACTAAAAAACCTCCCGTTTTGCGTAACGCTCAACGGCCAACAAATCTTTTCTGGATTCCAAACTATAAAACCCATAAAAGAGATACCACAAGCCGAACCCGGCGAAGGGATTACGTTCGTAAACGGCTCCCCCGCAGAACAGAACGCGATCGCCAAATTACTGACCACATACAAAGACAACATCTTTCAATGGTCAGGAAAACATGGCCTGTTCCCCCAACACGTCGCATCCATCCCGACAAACGGCCAAGACCCCGAGCCACCAAGGCGCATCCAACTGTCGCCCGACAAGATACCAGCGATGACGGAAATTCTTGCCAATTACACCAAGGCCGGCATCATCGAACCGGCACAGTCCACGGTCAACTCACCGGCATTCCTCACACCCAAAGACGAAAACCCTAACGCACCGGCAATTCAAAGATGGCGCCTAGTCGAAGACTACCGCAAAATCAACAAAGTCATACTGGCAGACAACTACCCAATGCCGGTTATCCAAGACATCCTCGATGCCCTGGGCAGACAAAACGCATACTTCTGCTGCCTGGATCTGCACTCTGGGTATCACCACATACCCATAGCCCACGGCAACTGCCACAAAACGGCATTCACAACCCCAACCGGGCAAATGCAATATACAGTCATGCCGTACGGCCTCAAGACCGGCCCGGCCATCTTCCAGAGGACCATGGAAACAATACTCCGCCAGCACCTCTACAGCCAATGTCTCGTGTACATAGACGACATCATTGTCTTCGGCACCACATTCAACCAAGTGCTACAAAACCTCGCCGAGGTGTTACACACCCTAGCGACCGCGGGGGCATCCATCAACATCTCCAAGTCCAAATTCTTGGCAGAATCTATTCATTTCTTGGGACACATCGTTGACAAGACCAGGACGCGACCAGCCAAGGAACACCTCAAAGCAGTACAAGCGTTTCCCAAACCCGAAACCACGAAACAAATGCAGAGGTTCCTGGGTCTCGCGATGTACCTGCGCTTGCATGTACCAACAAACTTCGCAAACCTCAAAAAGACTCTTCAAAACACGATCCCCGTGAAACCGGCCACAGCGCTCAAATGGACACCCAAAGCGGACGCCACCTTTGAGGCCCTGAAACAGGCGATCGCCAATGCCACACGACTAGAACGTTTCGAACCACAGTGGGACACCAAAGTCCACTGCGACGCCTCGGCCACCGCCATCAGCGCAATCCTTGTGCAGATAGACCACGACGGACAACCACACATCATTGAATACGCCAGCAGAGTCCTAACGCCTGCGGAGACCCGTTACTCCAACACCCAAAGAGAACTACTAGCAGCAGTGTGGGCGACCATCAAAAAATTCCGACACTATGTCGAACATCGACAATTCAAAATTGTCACGGACCACAAGGCATTACTCGGAGAATTAGTCGACACCAGACTCATCACTCTCCGACTAAAACTGGAACCATTCCAGCATACGTTTGTACACCGACCGGGCAAAACCCTCACAGGACCAGATGCCCTCAGTCAAATCCAGCTCAACAGCATACAACTCCGCAAAGTACCCGACCCAGGGCAGCACGCAGAGATCATCTACCAATATCATGTAGAAATGGGCCACACCAACTGGAAGAAGACCTTCGATACAATACGAAAAAGATTCACCTGGCCTGGCATGCACACAGACATCTTTCATCACGTCTTACAATGCGCCAAATGCTTCACGTTCAACTCGGCAACCGCCGCAGTCGGTACTAAACTCACACCCGTCCCGCCCGCAGACAAACACAACCGTCTCGGCATTGACTTCTGGGGACCATTTCCCCCATCAACAAATGGAAACCGATACGCCATAGTCGCAATCAACTACTACTCGCGCAGAGTGGTAACCACACCCATCAAACGGGCAACAGCAAACGCCCTATGCAGTTTCCTAGCAGACGTATTTGCCCAAATGGGTACATTCGAAATTATCCACTTGGATGGAGCAGCGGTGTTCAACTCAGCGCCGTACAAGAGGTTAATCACAGCAAACCAGATTGCGTCCCACATTGCCCAGCCATACCACCCAGAAGGCAACGGCGCTTGTGAAAGGGCCATCAAATCGCTGTCAGCAATAATAGCAAAGACAGCACCAACACCCACCACGTGGGATGAAGTCTTACTCGACGCAGCGATCGCATATAACCTTACGCCTCACAT